TAGGACCCCCCCAGCTCCCCAATACACCCTGGCCCCCCCGGCCTCCCCAATAGACCCCCCAGCTCCCCAATACACCCTGGCCCCCCGGCCTCCCAATAGACCCCCCAGCTCCCCAATATACCCTGGCCCCCCCGGCCTCCCAATAGACCCCCCAGCTGCCCAATACATCCCCAGTCCCCACCCTCTCCATTGCCCCAAGATACTCTCACCACCTCCAGCCCCCACCTTCCCTCCCACTCCCTGGCTCTGGAAGGGGAGTGGGGGCTGGTGGGTTTGAGCAGGGGGGGCTGGGAGCCAGGACTCCTGGGTTCTCTCCATGGCTCTGGGAGGGGAGTGGGGGCTAGTTGGTTAGAGCAGCAGGGGCTGGGAGCCAGGACTCCTGGGTTCTCTCCCTGGGAGGGGAGCCGGGCCGAGTGGCTGAGCGCGGGGGCTGGGCGAGGCTCCCGGACGCCTGGGTCCCGGTACCGTGTTGATGCAAGGCAGCTCCTTGTTGAGCAGCCAGGGCAGGGAGAGGTGCCCTTCGCCGCGGTAGCAGCTCTGGATCCGCTCCTGGATGCGCCGATTGACCTCGTCGAGCGTGAAGAGGCAGAGCAGGCTCTGGCGCGGCGGCGCGGCCCGGTTCTTCTGGCCCTGGGCAAAGGCTGCGTAGAGCACGTCCTGCCCCTCGGCCAGCCCCAGCGCCCGCGCTAGCCGGCGCCCGGCCTTGGCCAGCCGGGCGGCCTGCACCAGGCGGTACTCCACCCCGGCGTGGGCACAGCCCAGCGGGAACTCCACGTAGGAGTAGAACTCGGCGTCGCGGGCGCAGAGCCGCACGATCTTGGAGGAGAAGAAGCGCTCGGCCCCGGGGGCCGTCCCCCCGCCGGGCCCCCCGCCCGGCCCCTCCAGCGCCGCCTGCTGCGTGTCCAGCTGCAGGGTGAGGAAGTAGACGAAGGCGCCCGAGACGAAGGCCGAGACGTAGTAGATGTCGAAGGCCGGGTGCAGCGCCAGGGTGTCCGAGGGGACCTTGACCTGCGAGGAGACGAACTCGTCCTGGTACACCAGGCTGAACATGTCGGGGCTGGCGGGGTCGGGCGCCAGGCGGCGGCTGGACAGGGTGGGGAAGTACTCGGAGCGCCCCTCCACCGAGGTGCCCACGAAGAGCCGGCTGGGCTGGCCCGGCTGCTCCAGGATGACGCCGGCCATGGCGTCGGCCTCGCGCCCGCCCGAGAGGTAGTGCTCCTTGCGCTGGTGCGGCTCGCCCAGCTTGGCCAGGTCGCCCAGGCGCAGCAGCTGGCAGACGCCCTGCCAGACGCTGCCGCAGGCCACCAGCCGCCCGCCCGCGTAGTCCAGCAGCAGCAGCTTGTTGACGTTGTCGGCCGGGGCCAGCGGGTGCTGGCAGAGCCGCACGGCGGGCGGCGGGTAGCACCGGGCGTCGTCCGGCACCGGCCCCGTCCCGTGCACCCGCAGCTGGCTGAGATTGGCCGCCAGCTTGTAGACGCGGTTTACGGCGCCGGCAAAGACCTCGCCCGTCTCGCGGTGCACCGCCAGGTGGGTCAGTCCCCCGTCCGGCACCGAAAAGGATACCCGGGTGGCCGGGAGCGGCGGAGGGGGGGCCCCTGCCCGGGCCAGGGGCGGCAGCAGCAGCAGCAGAGCCAGGGCCCCGAGCAGCAGTGGGGCGGCCATGGTGGGATGGTCGGGGGGCGGCAGGCCTGGAAGGGGGAGAGATGGGGGTTAGAGAGATGGGGACCTCCCCCCCTGCCAGAGAGACCACCCCCCAGCCCCCCCACTTCCCCATGGCTGACCCCCCAACACCCACAGCCAACGCCCACCCCAGCCCCCCACTTCCCCATGGATGACACCCCCCAACACCCCCAGCCATA